CAACTGCTACTGCTACTACTACTACTACTACTACTACTACTACTATCCACTATCCACTATCTACTATCTACTATCTACTATCTACTATCTACTATCTACTATCTACTATCTACTATCTACTATCTACTATCTACTGTCTACTATTCACTACCTACTACTGCTGCTGCTGCTGCTGCTGCTGCTGCTGCTGTGCTGCTGCTGCTGCGGCTGCTGCTGCTGCTGCTGCTGCTGCTGCTGCTGCTGCTGCTGCTGCTGCTGGACCCTTGCTGGTGTTGGTACTGGTACTGGTACAGTGCTACAATGTGGAGTGGAGGCTCCGGTGTCGAAAGCTTTCGGAGTGAGAGCGCGCCTGCAGGCTCTCGCAGACTTGAAGAGGCAGAAGGGTAAGCTGTGAGCGGGCCTGGAGACTTTCCCGATGTTGGTGTTAAATACACGAACCCCAAACCCTAAACTCAAAACCTTAAACCTTGACCCCTAAAACCCTAAACCGTAATCGGCCTTGAATCCCCTTTCTGCGAAGGTCCTCCTGAATACATAGAGTTTGCTACGATGCTGCTCTGCAAGACGCAGAGCGACGCATCGAGGGTGCAGGGGGTTCGGGATTCGTTCAGTCCATCCTCGTCTTATGACTATCATCCTTATGCTTACAATTACGGTTGTTTAGAAGCATGGCATGTCACAAGTATTCCAGCCTCCAGATTTTCCATGCCTTCTGATCCTCGCGCAGGACTTCTGTGCTGCACCTCGCTTGAACAAAAACAAGAGTAACAAGAGCAGACGCAATTTGACAAGTTGTCGTTTGTACACCATTGTCTCCAGGATTAGTGGCCATTGCAGTGCAACATGGAAGAATTTGGTTGCACATGGTGTTATGTGAACACCGATACACTGCACTCCAGTCGTGGTCGTAGTAGCTGCTGCTTTCGTGCTGCTGCCACTATCGAGCCAGACACCTTAAATCGTGCGGACCCTTGAAAGAGCGAAGACATACGTCCTGGACGAGGACCTAGCAAGGGATTCTGGGAGCCAGATGATACTAGAACAACTACTACTACTACTACTACTACTACTACTACTACTGCTACTTTTACTATTAATATTACTATTACTATTACTAGTACTAGTACTATTACTATTACTATCACTATTACTATTACTATTACTATTACTATTGCTATTACTCTTACTCTTACTATTACTATGACTATTACTATTACTATTACTATTACTATTACTATTACTATTACTATTACTATTACTATTACTATTACTATTACTATTACTAACTACTACTACTACTACTACTACTTCTACTACTACTCCTACTACTACTACTACTACTACTACGACTACTCCTGATCCTACTCCTACTCCTACTCCTACTCCTACTACTACTACTACTACTACTACTACCACCTTTACTTCTACTACTTACTACTACTGCTACTACGACAACGACGGTCCGATAACGACTACTACCTGTCCTACCGCTAAGACGACGATGACCACGACTACCACATCTGGTCTTGCTGCCGCTGCTGCTGATGCACACTTACTTTGCGACAGCGCGACAGCAAAGCAATCAACAAACGCTCAGACACGACTGGCCATATGCTTGTCAGGTCATCAGAGCAGTGGCTGAAACAGCATGCAGAAACACGACACTTTTACAGCTTCGTTGCTTGGGTTAATTCGCGTGGTTCGTCTTTGCGGCTGCTGGGAAAGGACGGACGGGAAGTGCCAACACAACCGCCGGGGTTGCCGGATAATGCCGCATGTTCCATCGTCCCGTCATCATCGGGCTCATGGCGTTGAGGGCATTCCGGTCGGTATACCGCGTGTCGGTCCGCTGCAGCTTCGGCAGCGCTGTGATACAACACTAAGTGAATCTAGTGGTCCTGCTACTGTGCCAGGGTTTGTTCTGCAAACTATAAGTACATACTGTTTAGGTTAGGCTAGTTTAGAGCTACGAACTTTTGGGGGGCCTCGTCCTCTCCCCAACCTGTTCCAGTCGATACATACGGGATGGCTATCTGTGATTTCCTTTTCCAAAGCCAGGTCGTGTGTTGGTCACTGGCTGCTTTCAAGACTGATTGCTGTCCTACGTCCGGTCTGCTGACAAAGCGCTTAAGGAATTGAGAATGTATGTACGGTTCGGATAAGAATCTACGACCTGTTAAAGAGACATACTGCTAGCTATTGGCTTCCATAGTCGGGAGTTGCCAAGCTGACGTTCAACTCTCTGACAAGACTTGAAGGTCTGTGGCTTTGAACCTGACCTTTCCAGAGCGAGTCACCCCGCGGTGAGCTTAGAAGTTTTACCATTGGTGGAGCTTCTCGATCAAGGGATTCAGTCAAGAGGCGTCAGGAAGGATGCCTGAGTGCACGGAATCCTTGCTTCCGGCACTTGAACAAAGTTGAACACCTGAACTTCAGCTGCACCAGTGCTTCAGTGCAAAGCTCAGCTTCGGATTGGAGTCTGTGTGGATATGTTATGGCTGCTTTTACAGGTATGTGGTTAAGCTTCAACCCTATAAGCATTCTTGAATCCCAAGCTACAAAGACTTTGGCATTAGCCCTTCTGTGACTGAAGCAGTACGTAGCTCCGAAAGACGGTTCAGGGTTTGAGAGGTTACGGTTTTTAGATTTCGGATTAGGGCTTAGGGTTGAAGGAAGTAGGGTTGAAGGGTTTCAGGGTCCAGGGTTTACGGTCAAGGAGCCAACCTCTTCCCTTTGTGGCGGAAGCTGCACCCCACATGGTCAAGTCAAGTCTTCTCATTGCAGCAGCCAGTGCAAGGTCATCGATTGACTATTAGAAACCGATTCGCAAGATTCGCAGCTCCAGGTTGAACGCCAACTGGTTGAAGGAACTAGTCACCAATGGGCCGACCAATTGGCCGGGTGCCAGGCGATTGGATCATGTTGAACCTCAAGTATAATTCTGCGAGCCTGTGCTTCAGGGTCGAATTCCAAGCTACTTGCTCTGAACAGACCAGAAGCTGGCCCGTTGGAAATGCGTAATGACTTTGCTAGCGGTCGTCCCGTGACGCCTCCCGAGTGGATCAGCGGCCAACGCATCTTCTGCTAGCAATCAGTTTGCCTGTCAGATAATGCCATGAAAGTCAGTCATCGCGAGTCGAATTTCCTTGGCATTTCAAAGCTGCACATTTCAACTGGCCGCAGATACATCATCCGCGACGACGGGAGTCGCATAGACCTCCGGTGCCCACGCGCATTGTTTATCAGAGTGTCGATCTGTTTGGCATGAGCCAGGCCAAGACACTGTTTTTAGGTTACGGCCAGTCCAGACAAGCCATGACAAGCCGACAGACATACGCGCACGTGATCTGGTCGTTGGGGGATGTCAATCACCACCACCTCAGTTTCTGTGACTCGTCTTGCAGTGATGTACATCTGGCAGGTTCGAGATTTTGTCAATGCAGGCCCTTAAGTCGTCGGAGCCCTCGTCGGTCGTCAACTCAAGGGCCTTGTCTTGCCGTCTCGGATTCTGGCTCGCAGACTCGCAGATGTGTTTTTGCGAGTGCTCGCCAGGTACGTTGGGAAACGAGAAGACATAGATCTGCAGCGGGCCACCGAGCCAGGGGGAGTTGTTGAGAGAAATGCAGCCCTGGAGGGTTTGACCTTCGACACTGAAGATCTAAGATCTTCCAAATGCTGTGGTGTGTATCACGTTCGGATGCAATTCGACTCGCTGAATTTCCCCGCCTCTAACTTAAAGAAATCTGAACTGGCTCTGGCCCCCGGACCAGCCGACATCTTGAACGACAGCTTGATGAAGCCCGCAACATCTCACTATCGTGGACTCGCTGAGTGCACGACAAAGCACTTCCGAAGTTCTCCGAACCGCCTCGAGGTTTGGCTGGCGTGTAGAGCGCCACATGCTAGATGGAGATTATGCGTGCGGCCGAGAGCAAGGATCCGGTCTCGTACGGCTCATGAAGTACCCGTTTGATCCATGTAGCACGGAATGTGCAATCCCTACTTCTGGCTTGTGCTGCAGCGCTCCACATGTTGTTCGATTCGCTTTGCACAGATTCGTTACGCATGTGTTCAGTGCTCGGAATGAATGTGGCTTGAGCTAGGAAGGACCTGGACATCCTCATGCCGATAGCTACATGGACTGTTAACAGTGCTAAGGTGATCTTCAATCGTCAGCCATCTCTGCACAAGATGAGCATGATGGGTCACAGGGCCAAGGCATGCAACTTTGGATAGATGCACTCATTGTCAGGATGTTTCTGGCACATATCAGCTCAGATGTTTTCTGCATCCATAGTTCGGAGGGAAGTTTCGGGTAGCTCTCGCCAGGGCTTCTTGGCATCAGCACAGACTGAAAAAGCAGCGTGGAAATACATAGTTAGTCTGCATTGAGACCAGGTATAGTGTCAATGAACTTTTGAAGGGATCCGAAGACTCGCATTCGACTGAGAACTCTGTCCAAGCCTTCACACTTTTCGGGGCCCGAGGCCTGAAGCCCCAGACTTTGACCTCTGCCTCCGTTCTGGAAGCAGGTAATGCCTTTTTCTACATTGCGATTCAATCTTGCCGGGCGCACATGCTGTTCATGTGACATGCATGGAGTGTATCTCCTGCGGGAGTAGTGTTGTGTTCCGAGTGCCGCTTGCATGGACGCGGTTCAGCGGAGTTCCTGCTAGGTCCAAGGGTTCAAGATCCCAGTTGGCATGCGGGTATCGGTTTGGGAAAGGTTCCACAAATCCTTGACAAACTGTATCCTTTGTGAAGATCGACATGGTGAGTTCTTGACAGCAGAGCGTGAGCTAGATGTTGGCGTGGTGCGCATGGTCCAAGTGACTCACATCGCACTTGAAAAAACAAGGCAGTCACGTCGCCGTACAACGCGGACTTCGACGGAGACGAAATGAACTTGCACCTAGCCCAGGTGGCGGACCGGCAAACGAGACTTTGCAGAGGCTTTTTGGGATTGGTTTGTAGAGTACCTGGTGGTACTGTAACGGTAAGTGATCAAACGCTGGTAGTTGCAAGGGCTGGTCGTGGCGTTGTTCCTATATTAGCTTCCTGCCGGCAACTAGTGGAACCAGCGAAATTGTGTCGCACCACGTGCAGCGCGACTTGTGCAGTCGCAAGAGACGCGTGCGGAGATCAAGCACATGATGCTGAACCCGCGGCAGGCACGATACCCGTCGAGCAATTTGCATCAAACAGCTTCTCCTACCTGCAGTTTCTTTGTGCTTGCCCACTGCAGCGCAGGTCGTGTCTCCGCAGGGAAACAAGCCCGTTATGGGCGTTGTGCAGGCGAGTTTCAGGGTTTGGAACTGTTGGGAGATGGTGGTGATGAGTTTGGCCTTGAGGCCACGAGCTCCAGAGAATAGAGAGCTAAGACGTTTTGTTGACAAGCCCATGCAGGACAGCCTTCTCGCCACCGCGAAGTACACCAAGCGAGATACATACATGGAGAAGGCCATGGATCATAGCTATGGAGCTCGTAAGCAAGCCAAGCTCCATCCACACTGCTACGTAGTTCCACAAACCGAGTCGCGTTGTCCCTGGCCGCATTCTCGCCACATGTCGGCATTTCTGAGAGGATCTCTGCATGAACATCCTCATGTGGCTGCCTGTTTGGGACGGCATGGAGCCCGGGCTCTGAGCCAAGCTCGGAGTCTCCAACTTGCCCACGGCGCCCAAGGTCAGCTTCCGATCCCTGCGATCATCAAGCCGAAAATGCTTTGGACCGACCCCGCTAGCATGCGCCACATGGCACACGCCACACTGTACGGCGCATGCTAGGACGGGCAAGCAGATCCTCTCCATGCTCTTGCCCAAGACTCTGTCCATGAAGGCAGGTGGGAAGGTTTTCTGCAGGGCAACTACAGCCTTTCGGGAGATGGTATCTCGCGAGCAGTAGCTAAGTTCGAAAAGCCGAGCCACAAGAAATGCAATGTGCACCGTGTAATCCAGGAGAGTGGGTGATCAGTTCCCCAATTCCCGCATCTCCGCTTTGTTCTCCCTGGCCCAGCGTGATGCAGCGATCGCCTCCAAGAACAAGAAGGCCGCCTTCGCTACTTGCAGGCTTCTGGAGGTTTGCCACAGACGCTTCAGCCCGAAGATAATCATGTAATGTTCTGTCTGTCGCTCTGTGACGCCAGTTGCAATTCCTCATGGACTGCTGGGCAACTGCAACCACTACGCCCACTGAGTAACCTCTGGACCTACTCCTAGTCGTCTGAACTGCCCAACTCGCTTGAGCTTTGGTTCGGACTTGCGCTCAGAAAGTGCCGGACGACCCGTTATCGCGAGCTGGGCAGGATGAGCCAGACTTCGCAGCGAGCGATTGCAAGGTGCAGATCGACCGACAAATGACCCTGTTGGTTTTCGAGTGAGTGGTGTTGGATGGTCTGGGCAAAGGCTTCACCGATTGCCCCCCCCTCCTCAGTCAGGCGGACATTGAGAGAAACCACCGTCCAGCAGCCTCCCTCAAGTTTACATGAATGTCGCTTCCTCGTGTGGCTCTGGGCCCATCAAAAAGGCTTTCCGTCTTTACAAGCAAGTCTTCCAGGCCCTTTTGAAGAAAGGGGAACCTTGCCTCGAGGTGCTCATCGTCAATGGCGAGCTGTTGAGCGGCATCGTGTGTAAGAAGACAGCGCGCCCCTTACTTCAGACGGTGGTCTTTGCCCGTCAATTACTTGAGCCAGTGCTCACCAACTAGACGGCTTGCTGGTGAACATACTATGGTCAGGGTGTCTCAAGGGATTGCAACAATTAGTCCCACAAGTTGCAGGACGGTCCAGCTCACAACCCAGCTTCTTTTGACCTGCATACCGCATACCAGAGGACAGACACATTCATGCAACAAGCTCATCTGCAGGCATCACGACAAGACAAATGTTCTGATTCGAACAGTACCAAGACTCGGTACCCGGACGATCCGTTCCTACTCGTCTCATGTTGAAAAACAGGCCCGCGGGCCGGCGCGCACCTGTCTAGAGAAAATCTCTCCGCAGATTGGCTCTTCTGGGGGATCTTTGCTCCATTTGGCAGGGTGCTCAGAGCACGTCGAGTGCTCCCTCGTTCCGCTCGCTCTGCTGCTCCGCTCACTTCTCGTGGCTTCAGGTCTGGCTGGACAGTGGGCCGGAGTGGTGTCGGAACGTCCTTGGCCCCGGATCTGAAGCATCAAAGGGTTTCCATCACAAGCCCTTTGTCCTGGGACCTGGAGGTTCTTTCCTACATCCAGAAGATGGTGAACCAGTGGTTGACACACAATGGGCGGGGACCTTAGAGACTTTTGGGGGCCCTGAAGGCCGGAAAGTATAGGATTTGAGCACTTTCGGAGCCTTTCAGAGAGGACGGTAGGAGTCCTTTTTGGAGTTCCTTCTTTCGTCAAGATCCTGTTGAATTCAGGGTCCATTTTAGGGATCCCTTGTTGTTCGAAGCTGCAATTTTGCCGTAGGGTAGTCGTCACTCCTCGACCTGTCACTGCCACCCATGCCTTGACTGCTTGTACAGGTTCTCCTGTGGCGTGGCAGACATCATTGCCAACGACCAAACGCTGCTGAGTGTGGAGAAGACGCTGAAGCAGGACCCGCTGAATGATAAGTCTGAGCAGACAGCGCGGGTCAGTTTTGTGCAAGCATAACACAAGATCTGAATTGAACAACTCGAGGCAATCGGCTTTCAAAGCTGGCACGCATACGACTGGGAAGCCGAAGCCCATGAAGCTCCAGGCAAAGAAAGAGGTTCGAGCACTCCTGGCTGATGCTCAGCGCGGAAAGCTGGAGACGCAGCCTGGAAAAACCATGTGCGCCAGGAAGCTATTGTTGTTATGCCTTTTGAGGCACCAGTGTTTCAGATCTGTTCTTTTGCCGGCGAAGGCTCTTCCATTCGGTGCTTGCAATTGGCCAAAAGCCTCCTTGCAGGTACCAGTCTTTCGAAGCCAAGGCGAACCAACGTCTGAACTCCGCCCGCGAGGACTTCTTGGGGCAAACTTGCAAGTTTCCAACAGTCGATGTGTGTGTTCGGGTGTACCTAGGGCCTAGGGCGATGCTTCGCACATCGTACGGTCATTGCTCGTCCTGGTGGGCTGCTCTGACTGTCATAATTCAGCATGCAAGCGCATTATCTTCACGGCGTCAGCAGCGCTGAGCCTCATCAGCAATGCTAGGCCCCAGAGAAGGATTCCCCTGTGCTAACCTGCTTGCGTGGACAGCCCGGTGCCAAACCCTGAGCCCAGAATAACTTACCAGCCGAGAGCCGTCCAAGGACGCCGGAAACATTGGTGCCAGTTCGCTGGATGAGCGCAACAACATCATTTCCATGGTGTCTCAGCCTACTGAGAGTTTTGTTTCTGCAGTTGTTCACGAATCAATCTGCATCCGACCTACAACCAAGAGAGTCACCAAGTGTGATACTGAAAGAATATGAAGGTCAAGATTTACATGGTGAGCCTGCGCCCAGGTGAATGCTGGCTCTAAGGGGCAGGGGCCCTGGATTCGTGCTGATGTTAGACTCCTGTTGGTGGCTTCGCTGGCACAATGTGGAAGAGGGACGGGCAAGCTCTGTCCTAATTCGGTTAATCAGTGGTTTCTGTCGTTGTTCCGAGGTCGCCATTGAACATTGCCCAGATTGTGGCCTGCGTGGGTCAGCAAAACGTGGAAGGTGCCCGCATCAGGCTCGGATTGGGAGGTACGGAACTGCAGGCTCTACTTGCAAACTCTTGACATCCGTCGCCCTGCCTGCCGCGGATAGGTACGGCTTCAATGAGCGGACCCTGCCGCACTTCACGAAGGCGCTGCCTCCAGCTGTCTTTCGCGGCTGAATAGAAGCTGCAGCCAGGACGATTATGGAGCGGAGGCGCGGGGCTTCGTGGAGAACTCCTACCTGGCAGGCCTTACACCACAGGAAGCCCTGGCCTCGAATCGGCTTGGGGGATCACTGGACGTTTCAGTCGAGCAGACGCAGTTTTGAAATATGGGCTACTGTTGGTGGTTGGGCAGATTTCGCTTGGGAATCATTGAGTAGAGTATAGTTTAGATATGTTTTGTTTGGTTCAGCTGTTCTGCTGACAGGACATTGGAATGCCGTTGTTACGGAAGTGCAAGCAAATCAGAGCTGCCTTGTGCATTCAAGACAGTGCCGGGGTTAGTGCCTCAAGGTTAATCCAGATCTGGAGTCATTGACAGCTCATGTCCTGTCCAGCTCGGACAACGCAAGACAGCATGTTGCATGACAGCCTGTTCTGACGGCGAAGCCACTCAGGAGGCTCGGTATCTAGTCTTCTGCATATCATTATAGGGGCGACCAATCTGAAACAGTCGCAAATGGTCGTTTCGATCCCGAGACAACTGTTCGGCGCAAAGCCGAATGCCCTCTCGAAGGAAGCAATGGCATACTGCCACATCCGAGGTCTGGATGCATGCCATGGGAGGCCGCGAGGGGGTCATCGACACGGCCTGCAAGACCTCCGAGACAGGGCGCGACGCTTTCCACGTTTTCACCAAGTCCTTGTTGCCTTGTCTGGTTCCTCTCTAGGTATGAGGATGCACCAGAAGCCAGCGCTCACTTGGGCATACCAGAATTTGCAATTGAAGGGCTCGCCTGATCCTCCAGCGAGACAGATTGGGATCGAAGAGTGTTTTCTACTACGCCTCTTCATCTAAACATATTGCGCACGGGACATTCCACTGGGAGCAAGACGCGAGGTACATCCAGCGGCGTCTTGTGAAGTCTATGGAGACACTGAAGCCCGGCAGCCGGTGTTCAGGGATCCGAGGGAGATGTTGAATGATGTTGAGGCAGTTCGGCGTGCAGCCGAAAAGTCAGCAGGGATGATGCATCTGCCAAAGTGCGCTTGTTCGAATGGCTTCTAGCCACAGGCATGAAGCAGGGCACATTCAAAAAGGAGCGTGTCACAGCCAGGGTGGCCTATGATGGCACAGCTCGGAATGCCTGCAATGCCAGAGACCCAGAGATTCTTCTGCACAGCTCGCCAGAAGCTCCTGCAGACCCGGCTACTGTACTTGCCTTCCCACCCTCTCATATTAAGCTTCAAGCTGCTGAGGACATTATCCAATTCCTTTATGGAGAGGATGGCATGGACGGCCTGTGGATCGAGGAGCTAGCTGCGTGAGCATGGCGTCCCTCAAAGTGGCTAAAATGCTAAATTTTTTGAGGCCTCCAGGTCAGGCAGGGAGGTAGGTGTCGGCAAAGTGAAGCTCTGTGCAGGATCAAACTCTGGAGATAATGACTTACGACAACCGGAAGCTTGAGAACACCTTCCAGCCGGGCAGCTCTGAGTTCGGTGGCAGTTTCGTCGCGGGTGGCCTGTCAAACAGCGCTTTCTCAGGCACAAGTACACCGATGCAGACTACGGGCTCGGTTGGCTGCCGACACGCGTGCTGGAGCAGATCAAGGCACTTCTCGCGGAATCTCTCGCGATCTTTCGGGGAGAGGGGCGCGAGAAGGAGTGTTTGGTCAACGAAGTTTCGGAAAGATGCAAGGATGGCTGCGGCATGAGACGGCTGTTGCTGTCACAAAGGGGTGGTGACTCGTTCAGATAGCATGTTGCGGCTGGCCGACTGCCCTGCACGGAAACCTGTCTAGACTCTGAGCTCCGACTCTGGCCTTTGTCAATGTAGTTGCGGGAGACGGAGCTGCGCAGACCCACCGCAGCGGCAGGAAAGTAGCAAACATGGGCACGCGTCTGAAGCACAAGTAGAGTTTATGAGAAGCCAGGGAGCTCACTTCCAGCCTTCAGCCTGAGGGCATCGCCTGCAAGATGAAACTGTCCAACATTGCAGGTCAGCAGTGATGACCAGCAACTCCTTGATGAAGAGCCTGGCGCGCAGACGAGCGGGCTTGTGAAGTGCCGTGTGGATTCCACTCACTATGTCGAAAGAATGTGGTGAGCCCGAGCCTGCGAGTCTAGGGCGAGCGAGAAGTGGTGCATCCGATGCCCCTTACCCCAGCGATGGGATAAGGTGGGAAAGGCTGAAGACCATCAAGCAGCAGATCTGCAGTGAGGCCGGGATGGGAGGTTTGGGATCCAAGGAAACCAAGTCGTGCGAGCAGGGTTTCTCTGTATCGACAGTTGGGGTATGAGCAGCATATGGAGCGTACGATTGATCGGTTCTAACTTAGTGTGTCATGCAAGGTATACCCGGATGGCGAGACAAAGCAGCACATCCCGATCAACATCGCCAGGCACATGACAAGGATGTTCAACGGAAGAGAGATTTATCACCATGTTGCGAGCGACAACTTTCCGGCTGCGCTCAGCAAGTATAGTCATGTTATACTGAACACAGCTGTCATGCACAGCCGGTCACTGCTCTGTTTGCTGTGCATTTTCCCCATAAACTGAAGTGAGGAAAGCGCTGCTAGCAACCGTGAAATTGCTCGGGTGCGATGCTTTGCCTCGCGTCGAGGCTGCTGGACCGGGCTCGCAACCGTGTCGCAGATGAGGATGGCACTGAAGCGCAAGAGAGGCCCATTGATTTCGTCGAAGCTGCAAGTGTTGCAAGCAGTTCATTCCAGTGTATATTCGGCAATATGCCACATTCTCCCGCAGTAAAGTTGAGGAATGTAGAAGTGAATGCCTGTGTCCCGTGTGCTTGCTGCGCAGCACTGTCCGAATGCGGTCGGCACAACAGGTATTCGCCCATGGAGATCGTCCAGAAGGTTGAAAGCTTGCTGAGGCAGCTGGAGGCACCTGCAGTGAAATGAGGCTCTAAACGCCTCTTCTGTGGTTCTCCCACCTGAGCCAAAATGACGCTAATGAAGAAGAAGCCGAAGCTATGTCGCTGCCGCCATTCTTCGCTGTGGTGGTGGTTTTGCAATTGACTCTTCTCATTGTTAAGTTAATGCTGTGGCTGTGGTGCTGCCGTTGCCCTACCGTTGCATACCGTTGCTCCTGCTACCTGCGTTGCTGCGACTGTGTCCGACGTTGGTATTGATTATGGTGAAGATTGATGACGATGATGCTACTGCAGCTATTGATGGTGGTGAGGATGAGCATGATGAAGTGCTGCTGATGATGGTGAGATGATGTGCGGTGTTTTTCTCCGTCATGGACTCACGGTGCAAGGTGACCAGGGCCATCGCAGAAGGCGACACCATCGGACGGGAAGTGGAAGACAACGCGAAGGCTCTCGGATCCACTCGGTTCTCCAAGTGTCTCGTTTTCATACTTCCCGAGCGCTTCGCTGGTTTGCTCCCGGAGTCCAGTGCTGAAGCTGCAGATCGTCCTCAACGCCCACCTCCGCTGCGCGTTGGCGTCACGGAAAATCCTTGAGAAGGACCAGAGAACAGCTTCACGGGGGCTGCAACTTGTAGTACGATCTCTGTTTTTTAGGCCTGGCGGAGCGTAAGCGTGATCGAGCCCCCGGACGGCTCCCTGTTACATGTAAGGGTACAAAGATTGCTGCAGATGCCCAGTGAAGAGTCGGGTCCTGCCAGGAGAAGCTCTCGAAGCAGTCTTTCGACTGGCTGATCGGCGAGGTCAAGCAGAAGTTCATGCAGCCTGACGGCTCGATAGTTGCTGTCAGTGTTGTGAATGTTGGAACATGGCCTTGAAACGTGGTGCTAATACAGCTAGTGCTGTTGGTCTTCTATTGTTCTCTTGCCCTAAAAAGCCGGACCAGTGCAGTCTAACGTGCCCTCTCACCGATTTTGCGTCTCGCATGGACCCAATCACATTCATGCACGGCCCGGAAAGGCATCGACCAGTTCAAGATATCCTGAATGTGTTTCGAGATGGATCTAGCTTGTGCACGACAAGAGCGTCTTGTCACGCGTATCCACCCAGCAGCCATGAATCGAGGAAGTCCCTGGTCCATCCAGGTGCAGCCCGCCTCGTTTCAGTATTTGCGAAGAGGGAAAGCGTTGCTGGTTGAAAGTATACGCGTGAAGCTTCCAGCAGGCCCAACACGACTATTGAACTTGCAATTGAAGTCATGTGGGGTGGGGCTTCAATCACCGAGCAGATTGCGACATGCCAGATCAAGTGTGCAACTTGTTTCCATAGAGTACTCTTGTCGGTTTGCAGTGAAGTGGGCCGAAAACCTGAGTGACAGCGATCTGCCCTTTGCCACTATTGGCTCAGAGCCCAGAGAAGTTCTCAGGGCAGCAGCTTGCTAAATCCTGGTCCGTCTGAGCTTCTTCGAGCTGGCAATACATCATACGTCATACAACATATCATATGCATAATACACATGTGCATAATATATATATATATATATATGCATATATATATATATACGCACATACATATACGCACATACATACACACACATACATACATACATACATACATACATACATACATACATACATACATAACATACACACATGCACACATTTCTTCAGCTCTCCTGAATTGACGTGGAGCTTTATCTGCCAGCTTGAAGAGTCAGCACATCCATATCCTTTCGACGATGGTTCCTGATTCTTCGAGGCCACGTATTTTCTCACGAGTATCGGGGAACACTACACCTGGATGTCTGCAAACCCGAGATCACCCATAAATCGCAAAAAACAACAGCTCGAAGGTTGCATTGTCGTGCAAGGAATCAGGATTCGAAGCTAGGCCTCTGCACTACTTAGTGCCAATGCGATGCGCAGTAGAGCTGTACAATCGAGAAGCAGGACGATAGCTTAATGCAAGACAGCAGGACGGGGCTTGATGCTCAAGAACTGAGAAGCGATCAACATTGCATCACGCCTCGTTCATGTTGGGACTTGTGGTAAATGCGTGGATACTTTTGAGGTGCACAGCGCAGATTCGGCTCCTTTGCTTCACTTGGGGTCTGAAGCGTGCAGGACCCATGTGATCCTCGGGCCCGAAGACACTGCCTCTGGCCTTTTGCTGGAGCAGGCGGAGGTCCGTGTCCGGAGCAGAACAGGGGAGGCGTTATTTGCAAGGACAGCTGTACTATTCAATCGTTTCAGCTGGCGGAGCTTGACACTGTCATCCAGAAGTCATCCTGAAGGGATCCAGGTGATGCTCCGCCACCCCAAGTCTAAGACGAGACATCAAGAGCTTAGTGTGTGCACGGTCGCAAGCTCTCCCCTGCAAGAACGGGCTCGCGCTTGCGCCGCTGGCAATGCTGGCCGGTCTCCTGTTCCTCATGCCGGCGGTCGCAGCCATCCGCGCCCGGGCACTTGAGATTCTGATGAGAGAAGGCCTATCTCGTGTATCCCCTGCATCAACTGTGCCAGAATGCCAATCCCTTCCCACAACATGAAACATTGACCCGGCCGAACAGTGTAAAAATATGCAGGCACATGTTTACAGGATTTTACAGGTGTCGCAATTTGGAGTGCTTCTTTGTAGCCCTTGCGTTTGGTGTCTGCAGACCGCGCAATCCCCCGTTCCTCCCACATTCTGCCGTCCCTCTTCCCTCCTGCAGTCCGGCAGTCCAACGTTCGTGCATCCAACGCACCTGTAGTTCTGCCCATGGCCCCAGCGTGAGAAGAGGAACGAACGGGAAATGGAGCTCTCTCATTTCGAAGACACTTTTGCTCTAGGGATCAGGGATCTTTACAGATTGGTGATTTAAATACATGAAAAGGCTTCATGCGTCGTATAGGCGAACTAACATGCGGAAATCATGAAGCATCACTTCAGGGAAAGGCGACGACATCAATCATCAAGGCAAATGCTGTTCCTTTTCGCATCCCCGTTTCTTGAAGTTCAGACTACTTGAACTTTCACCTGACTCACGTTGAAGTGTACGCCATCAGTTCAAGCCGAGCGAAAACATGCTCTCTTTGGCCTAGGACTTGGAAGCGTGACTCTTGCAAGCACTTGGCTTTGGACTTCAGACTGGTACCAGATCGGATGGCGGACTCGTTCGCTGTCGCAAGATCAGGGGTTGACTGCGTCGATTAATTTGGTTTCCTTCTCCTTAGAAGGTCGGGCCTCTGCTGCTTTTGAGCTTGTATACCGCCCCGTGACATCATTGGTTGCATCTGCGCAAGATGTCACGTGAAGCAGACCCGGACAGTCTCAGACAAGAAGCACAGGACTCAATTGTGGGATAATCTGAAACCGCTTGCGACTGAAACTGACTGGTGATACTCCTCGTAGTGGTAGTCATTATAATGAGACCTTTGAGGTGGCATGGGGTCATCTTCGTGATCACAGCCATGCTGTCCTTCATTCACGAGGCTTGCTGAATGTTGGGAATTGGAACTACTGCTTATGTAGTTCTCCAGCAATAAAACTGAAGCTTCTAACACGGCACAGCAGAAATGAAGATCCCGTGTTTGAAGTTCTCTTGACATCACCCATCTCCTGATATCATGGCGGATTTTGCATCTCCGCTCCGGAACACAGTGTATGTTGGCAGGTTTCGGCAAGCCTCAACTATGGTGCCTAAAGTGCGAAGGTTACTTGAGTGCGGCAAGGCTTTCTGAACCACCATGTGCAAAGGGGGCTGCTTTCGGGACACATTTCATCGCCATGGGGGCCAAGCAGCCTTCCAAGAGGCTGCTTGAGTGGTGCAGCCGGGGCATTCGCTCTGCAGATCTGTGCTGCAGCAAGTTGTGCAAGGTTTGCGGAGGCTCCTCTGAGTCTGCTCCTACCCTGTGCACCCGAAGTTATCTTCAGAAGTTGGGCAGGACATGCAGTTCTGCTCTTGACGTCGTTTGCCTTGTCCCTGATAATTTACCACGGCGCCGTGGGAATCATACTCCGAGCTGTGCGACAGCAGTGTCTGAAAGGCTTCCTTTGCTCATGCGCGCCTTCGTGGCCACAGTAGGAGTCTACCGGTCTATGCTCTCCGAGATGTACTGGCAAGCATCAACCGCCTGGCAGGATTGTGTTGAATCAATGGGCGGAGTATTTTGGGAGCTTCGGCTAGGCAAAGCAGACTGGCCAGAATTGCATGCGACCTATGGACGGGCCTTTTTTGGTACCCAGAATCACCTGCAAGTCTTCCTGTGTGCTCCAGGCATTTTCCAGCATGACCAGTGGCTCCCTCCCGTTATAGCTTGCGGCCAAGTTGAGAATCTAATCAAGGAAGTCTTGCCTCTGTCTCTACGTCTTGCATATCCCGATATCTTTTTGCATGGGGATGGGCACCTGCAATTGCCTCCTCCCAGAGGTACGGGCATTGTGAGGGGTGGGGAGGGGCTGGCCGGCCAGGCCCTTCTTTGGGACCTCAGAGAAAGGGCCGTCAGATCTCAGGCCGTCCAAAGTTCGGAAGGCCAAGGCCGTCTCCGGGCCGCTGTCTGTATCGCCGGTCTGGCGAGGAGTCTTTGGATGCCGGAAGTGCACAAGTCCATCGCTGAGAATGTGACTCGAACGCTGGGTGCCAGGATGCAAATCTTCTATGTGCTGGACCTCCAGGGCCGCAAGCTGCGAGACTTTTCCGCTGCCCTTCGAGCGGTGCCACCCGACCAGCTGGCTTTCTACGATGAGCGCAAGGGCATGTCGGGCCCATGGTCAAAGCTGGCAAGATGCCACTGGACGCCGGGAGACAACAGCCACCATGTGTTCGCCAAGTTCCACACGTGCCTTCACATGATCACCGAGGCAGAGAAGGCTCAGGGCTTTAGATTCGACTGGGTCCTGCGATTGCGTCCAGACATGGCCTGGATGGCACCCATCGGGAACCTCGGAAACTTGGATTCCAACTCGGTGCACATTCCGCGTAGAAAGACCTTCCCTTATCCATCGGACACTGCTGACACCTTTGCCATCGTCCCTCGGAAGCATTTGCACTCGTATTTTGGAACAGTCTGCCCCAATGAGCGGGACGTGCAGTGGGCCTACCTTGGTAGAATGTGCTACGGTCTCTCATGCAATACGACAAGCTGCTCGGCAATATCTGAGTGCGTACTGCAGATTCGACTTGCATCTCGCTCTGTGCCAGTTGTGGCGTTTCCACCACTGATGCAGGTTGTGCGTGAATCTGTGTGCCATGCCGGTGACATGAAATGTCTTGCGGGATGGAAGGACACTTTCTTGGCTGCCCAGATGAGCCAGAAGAGCAGGGAGTGCATGCCTCGACTTAATTAGCCTTAGTCCTGACTTCTTCATTGCATTAAGGTTCTTCATGCGTTATAGGGCTGTGAGGCCTTTTCGCTCGACCGTTTTGCTTCTCCTGCCAAGTGTGCGAGGTTGTTGGGTTACGCCCCTCCACTCCCCACTCCAATGCTCCGTCACCTGTGCAGTGATCATGACACAACCATAACACGGCCGGAGTATTTTTTCAGGGATCCTTTGATTTTTACCTGGACGGCTTAATAATGCCAGTGCGTCGGCATGTGTTTCAGAGCTTTCCGTCACATGAGAGGCGGTGGACTGCAATATGCTCCCATCGCCCTTGGTGCACGTTCTTGCCGCAGGCGCGACCAGTGGAATCGACATGCAACAAACGCAGGCTACACAAGCGTCAGATATTATGAAGCTAGCACGAGTCAGGAGAGTAGGATAGCAGATATGGAAAGAGAAGGGAAGGAAGGAAGGAAGGCAGGAAGGGGGACAGGCAGGAAGCAAAGCAAGAGGGAAGAAGGAACGAACGCAACGACCAGCTGTGGTGTTATATTCGGGAACGGAGGCTCGTTTCACGCCCCTCTGCGGCGATTTTCCCCGTGCCCCTGCTTGTTTGTTTGTTGCACATACAGCATTATCTGTCCTTTGAAAGCAAGAAAGTGAATTTGATCGAACACCGGATCTTGGACGAAGAGATGTGCTGCGATGTGCAGCATTCACAGCCTGTGACAGTGTGGACGAATACGGTACTGTAACGAATTTTAAAGCAGTTCCTTTTGCATACTTGTGAGGTGTGTATGGCAGAAGACGGGATACTTGGTATAGTACAGTAATGGTCCAA